AAAAAAAAAAAAAAAAAAAAAAAAGGAAAAAAAAAAAAAAAAAAAAAAAAAAATTAGCTCGTCATATAGATTTTAAGTGTCAACCATTCGATTATCGATACTTTTTTTTATTATTATTTTCACAAGAACCAGGTAAAGGTTTTTATTCCAGATGAACTTTAACGCTCAGAATCAGCAATGATTGAAAAAACCGGCGTTACATCGGGAAACCTACCCTTACTGGGAGAAACTTCCACGAGCCCCTCCACCACGAGTTATGATTGTACAGTCATACAACTTGTGAAATGAGAAACCATGCGATGAAAAAAAACAAAAAAACATATTTACCCGTGAGAGAGATAGCCCGTTCGAAATCCGCCGGCACGTCACTGATCTCGCTCGCTTGATCGTTACCTTTGAACAACAAACGCACACAGGAAACATCAAGACCAGGTAAAATTTACACGAACAACTTCATCTCGCGGTGAACGAGAACAAGCACTCCGTCGATACACACATATATATATATGTATTAAAATATACTTGCCGTCATTGATCACCGGCGACTTCATCACATATCCCTCGCACCGTGTGCCTGTTGTTTTATCTTCTTTTTAATATTTTTTCTTGTTTATTGTTTCTTCCTGTCTCCCAAAAAATCGCGAAACAACTTTAAACCCTCGCTAAAACAAGAAGCGCCCAACACACACCCCCTCCGACCAACCGATATATCAGCCCGCGGGTATGTACTTTGGTATACCCAACGAGTGCGAGTTGCGCTCGCGTTACCGATCAATTATCTCCTTTTCACCTATATGCAGACTCGCGCAAATCTCCGACTTCCAAGTATACACACCGCTGTTTAACCGTTGCTTACACTGGACAGAGAGACGCACTCGCACTATATACGTCAAAGTGAATAACTAACAATTGAGTACATATAACCGAGACGAAATCGTGGGTGTATAATTGGCATTGCTGTGCACGTGTACAGGGCGAGAATTGACGGAGGGATGAGCAGGTGTAAGTATTGTAATTTAGCGCGCCAGCCGAGGATGGATGCGCGCACTCGAGTGAGAGTCTCGGCTCGGCCAGGCGCGCTTTTTTAAACGCTACACCCCCCCAGACCGCCCGACACGTATACACGATTTACACCTGTACAGTTGTATACACGCGTGTATCTGTCTATGCGCTGATAAAGCGGGTTATTGTGGTTGCGTTGTACCTTTTGCGTGTACGGGTGGACCAAGATTTTCCTATGTAGATCCTATACGGTCGCGCGGTGTGTTAGGGCTCCGTTGGTCCTGGCACCTGTGTACACCAACTCACTGGGTTTATTTATTTTGATGCGAGTATGCGGGTGGGAATTAAACGGGACCTTTTTTATACATGTGTATACAGGGATCGAATCACTTATTCAATTTGCGGGAGAGTTGAGAGAGAGTGTTTGTGTGTTTATTCCTGATATGGATGTACGAGCGACTTTTTTTTTTTTTTTTTTTTTTTTTTTTAAACCCCTTTAAGTTTTTAAAAATTTTTTTTTTTTTTTTTTTTTTTTTTTTTTTTTTTATCATCGGATCGACGCGCACGTTTTCCAAACAAGTTTCGCGCGAACTTTGTTTTTTTTGTCGCCTCGTTACGATTATACGAACTAGAACATCATTGACACTTCAGCTGCGCGATGAATCCAAGAAACACACACACGTTTCTCTAATAATCCAATTGCGAGCGCGTTATTATAATACTTACGAGGGAGCGCAACTTCTCTTGCATACGTTGACAATCTATCGAGGATAAAACGCTCCGTGGCCGATATGATCTTGTACGTTTTACAAATGGATACAATATAATTATGTCTACGTGCCTTCGAACAAACAGATGACTATACTATAATGTGCACCCTCTCGCTTACGATTAATCACCCGGACAACCGGAGGATGTTTACGTTTATTTGTTCCCGCAACTTTTTCAGGCAACAACGTTGCCGTCGCTATTGATACACGATTGGTTTATGTATAACGTACGTTTTCACATATATATATATTGGAAATGTTGTTGAGAAGTAAACATGGCAAACCCCATTGGTAGGTGCAGGCAGTTTCGTCCCTGGAGAAGTAAGATGAAGGTTAAAAAAAAAAAAAAATCATGATGATGAATTTTTTTTTGGAAATCCCGTGGTTGAGTTTTGTTTGTACGTGACATGACTATACTGGTTTATCTTGCATTACGCACCACCTGTGGATTAACATATATATATATTATACGTGTAGGTGTACATGTTATGTTTTTCGCGTTATCCTTAATTCAATGGCAAACGATGATGAGCAAACAAACACATCACCGGTCCGATAGGTGAGTTTTATTATAATAACAGGTGCATCGGGCGAGAGAGAAAAATTTCCGTGCGGAGATCGGGACCATCAGCGATACAAGAGGGGGATGAGTAATTTTCCCAGGCGCATCGGCGACAATCGATGAATCGTTGACACGCGAATTGTTGATTACAACGATTGCCGACATTGCTTGTGCGTTTTTGTATCTTTTTGCTCATGGCTTTGGGAAAATCTTATTTTAGCACAATCGGCTCTCGAGTTTTTTCTTTTCTTTTATCGGAATAAACGAATGTTCTCATCAGAAATACACACTTTATTTGTTTATTTGACTTTTATGTTAAATACTTATTGTATGCTCATTTGTAGTAGTAGTAGAAAATGAGGAAACAAGTATCATTATTTGAAATGAAACAAATGCTTCGAAGCAAAATATATGTATTTATACGTGTGTATATTATATTAATCGCAATTGAATAAACATCGATGGCGTCTAAATGCAAAAGTTTGTTCGATTTTGTCAAATTTTTACTCTTTTTAGTGCGGTCTTGGCCCACGTACGATGACCAACAAATTCAAGCGCGTTAGATTGTCAATGACTAAAGAAATTTTAGCAAAGAAACAGTATACATTGCTTGGTACGGTAAGGTAAATAATAAAGAAAGAAAAATTGTAGCATCGGTACAAAATATTTACTCAGACCTGGGGGGGAAAAAAATAAGTATATACTCGAGAGCAGAAAGACGCGTCGAAAACATACTTACGTGATATGTTATATACTAATAAAATACACCCAGACGTGACTCACAAGGCCCCCCCTGTATAAAATATCAATGTTAAGGTGGTACGTTGCGTGACGTAAATACATTTTGATTTTATTATTTTATACGTGCGATTACACGTTAATGATGAATTATATGGAATGGGTGTACCACACAATCTATATCTTAAACTCAATTTGTCGGGTTCTACTTAACAACTACTGTCAATATTTACTGATTAAAACATACATTTATAATTAGATCATAAAATCCGTGAATTTTGTTTAACTAGCTATAATAGCTATTTCCGCGGTTGGTGTATAAAATGTATTGCGTTTACTGATGGAATCATTAGGTTTTATTTTCCCATTTGAACGAACAAAATATACCCAATATAAGGAGACCCTCCGTGGATTTTCCAAACAAAATTTTGTAAAACGCTGCCATACGTGAAAATGCAATAAATATATAATAACTAAC